CTAAATTGAGTGCCTGATCAGCTCTGTTAGTTCTGGGAAAGAAAGTGGTTACTGGGCACGGGAACAGCAGAGACAGTGTTTTTGATTCTCAGCAAGAAGAGATAGATCACTAGTTTATTCAGAGTAGTTCAGATAAAGGAACATTTTCGCCGTGGATTTTTATGAAAACAAATAGTTCTGTGGCTGATCCAAGCCCATTTGTAGTGGTTCAAATTATGAGTTCTGTGTGGATTCTCCCTACTGTGAGATCAGAATGAAGGGTGGATCGGATTTTGGGTAAAAATCCTGTTTTGCCATTTTATTTCTGTAGTTGGTTGAAATTAGTGTTTGTACGTTTAATTCAGTTGTACACTAAAATGGGAAAAATATATATATGTCAACCTGAATCTTGCCTGTCTTGAGTATTAGATACCATCAATCACAGTTAAAACTCTTTTGTTGAGTAAGGAATATACTGCATATGAAAAGAGGAAACAGCATTATATTAAGTGCTAAGGTGTAATAATTTCCTTCTGAAAGACTTCAAATTATGTAAGGATTTTGGTATACAGTGCAATAAACACATGGAGCAATGTTGCCCCAGATAACAGTAATGTTAGACTATCTCATTAGACCTCTTAACTTCCAAATGTTTGTGTGTTTTCTACACTATTAAACATATCCTCTGATGGGGGCTGGGGTAGAATATGACAGAATTGTGATCTTTATCCAGTGTTGTTGGTTATGGAATAAAAAGCTGATGGAAAGTGATTGCCACAGAGCTGAAAAGATAATCGGATGCAGTTTATTACTCATCTTGTCAGCTGCTCCTGCTACAAGGGATTGTATCACAAGATGTTAATCTGCCTGTGACTAGATTTCAAAGCAAGTGTTCTTATTTTGGGGAGGGTAGAGCTTCTTTTAGTTTTACACAGTTTTTGTAAGAGAAATGGAACATTCCCAATTTAAAGTCTCAGAATGTTAATTGATGAAAAATATTAGCACATCATTGTGGGTTCTGCTACAGAAATATGATGATGTGCTACAAATGCTGTTTAATTGCAGAGATTGTTCTTTTTAAGCTAGTGATGAGGTTGTGTATCTACAGAATAGTGACAGTCTGTTGAGACACCAAGCACTGAAAGGCATCAAGTGTAGACACAAGACAGGTTTGCACCAAAGAGAATCACTTCTACACATTTAATCACAATGTGAGTGCACTCAGTACTCCCACATTTTGTCTACCAGTGAAGAGACTTGGTGTAAGTATAGCGGAGGACCAAATTCATTGCTCACACACACACTGTGGAAGTAAAGATGACAGGAATGCAATTTCAGCTGGATTACGGCTTCTGAAAGTGAAGAGCCCAAAAGAGCAGTTCTTCTCTTATATTCTGTGGGATGTTGCTCACTGTGCTATATGAAACATGGGGGAAGGCCTACAAGCTTACCATTACGATAAAATGAGTTGTAGATCTGCTGTGTGCATTTCAGGCAAGCAGTGCTGACTGCCCTTTCCTCTTCTCCTTCATCTTGCCTGTCTTTATAATTCCTTGAAGAAGTTGTCCAGGAGAGGGGAACGTTCCTTCAGTCTTTCCACTAAGCTACAGTAAAACATTCCTTTAGGAATTTTTTTGTGTGTGTGTCCTTTTTTTTAGTATTGATTGCTGTCAAACAGAATTGCACATTAGATTTTTATTAGTTAAATTACAGTTTCCATTGTAATCTACAGCACAGAAGTAATATGTTAAAATACTTTCTTTAAAAAATAAGCAGTGAAGTACCTGTAATAAGAAAATAACATACTTAGGTAATATGTAAGCAAAGAAATTTCAGGTTTAAACAAAATAAATAAATGTTTTCTGAGTGATCATGGTTGCGTATCACACTTTTATACCCCAGCAGGAGTATCTAATGCTAATGCCTTGTTGTGTTCTCATTTTAGTAGCTGCAGTCCTCCCACTTAAATGCTCTCCAGTGTTCGTGTAGGCAAAAGTATAAAGTATTCTCCAGTTCCTGCCACAAACTCTTACATGATCTTTTTTGTACTACTAACCAGCAGTTGTATTTCACCTCCTGAGCAGCTGCATCTCAGCACTGGACAAAGTGAAATCTCACCAGTCACATTATTGAAACAACTGGTAATAACTCCCTAGGTAGTGTTTTCAATTGTTCTGAAAATGGGACATTAACCTTTTTTGTCCCCTAAATATTTTTGACTGAGTCGTGAGTCACTATAAAATCTGTGAATTTTCCATGTATTTTTCCACTCTATTTCCTCATACATAATACAGTTGGATAGCCAAGACAAAGGAGCCTTGATGATTGCAAAATTTTGATGACTTAATTAATACCATTTACCCAGGTCTAGAGACACAAGCTAATGAGCAGAAACTTAACTGGCACAGCTGTGGCTACTATGCAGATATTTACATGAATACATATGTATATATGTCTGAATTTATATATGTTATATGTGAATGTATAGTTACATGCAAATGTTACATATTTTCCCTCCAATATTAAATGTTTTCAGGTTTTTGTTACTGTTACTTGTCACAGTCTGAATCACAAGTAAGAATGATGTGGACGGACAGTGTGCAAGTTTGTTTTCAAGACCACATTTCATCATTGTATTTTGTGCTAAAGCTATGATAGAGGTGTAGATGGTGATTACAGTAATGAAAGTAAGTTATTTGAAGGTGGCCTGTAAGTATTTTTCCACATCCATTAGATGATTTCGAAATTTAATTGAGTTACCATGCTGAATAGGCAAGTATTGTTCCAGGTTGGGATAGAGAGTATGAAAGCTAATTAATTTATTTTATAGCTCATGTGAAGGCTCATTTATTTTAAATATGAAACTGTGAAGAACTGAGTAACTTCACATTCATGCTATAATAATCGATTTATCCAAAAGAAGACCTTTTGTGCAGTGCACCTTCTGTCCAATATTACTATTTTATTTTTCCCATATATGAAAATCAACTACAGTTTTACGGAAAACACAAATACAGCTATGAAATTGGTTAGTCTGGTTTCTAAATCCGTACGTGTCCTCAGGCAGTCACAAATGAGATTCCATCATTCATGTTGATGTTAGTTTTCTGTGTTAATTCTCAAACATTTTTCAGATATGATCCTCCCATCATCCTGGATACCCAACAGCAGAAAGACATTCTCTCATGTCAGTTCTTAACATGATCCACAGATTTTATCCTTCTTTGTCTATCCTACCCCCTATCTTTATATAAGGGGTAGGACTGGATGAGTTATCCGCTTCTGTCAGCAAATCCTATTGCCACAAGGTGGTGAAGAGCCAAATGAAGTTCATTGTATTTTTTTGGCTGCTAAGGTTTTTGAAACTTCTTGAAAATTCTTCTGTTCTGTGCAAACCAGACTCGTTCTAAGTTCACAAACTTCACAATTTGTGAAAGCAATCTGTCTGATAATCTGATATTTTAAAAAAAATTATTATGTTTCAGTTTATTTTTGACTGATTTGCAAGTTTTATATAAAGGTTTTAAGGTGATGGCTTTTGAACTGAAAACTTGAACTTGAACCTGCAATATTTCAATGACCAGATGTTCGAATTGAATGCAGTGGTACCCTATTAGTGTAGGGCATTCTGAAGGCTCTCATTGCTTTGACCAATGTAGGCGAAGTGTGTGCTTTTTTTCCTCTGTCATATTGAGTGGTAATTCAGTTTGGAGTGACTGAACTTTTATATTTGAAAGAGTTTATATTATTTACAAGAGCATGTGGTTTGATTTGGTTTTTTGTTTTTACACTTTTCTCATAGTAAGTCACAGGCAACACCAAAGGGAAAGCTCAGAAAATGCATCCATCTTTGACAGAGATTTCAGCGTTAAACACTTTACTTAAGTGCATCTCTAGATGTGAATGCTGTGCTTTGATTTAAAAACGTTGATCTTTCAGAGTGGATCAGAACAGAAACAGCCAAGCACCAGCCTAAAATTCTTAGCATTGCTGACATCTGTAATCATTGCTCTTTCTGAGCACGTTTTGCATAGTTAGTGATTTCTTCAAATTGGTAAACTTATATGGAAGGTCAGTATATTGCATGGGTACATGAAGAAAAATGTTCTGTTGAGAGCTTTCCTCTCCCATATAGAGTTCAAGACCAGGTTAGATGGGGCTTTGGGCAACCTGGTGCAATGGGAAGTTTTGCTGCCCACAGTGGGGGGTTGGAACTAGATGGTCTTTAAAATCTCTTCCAAAACATTTTGTGTTTTTCTGACTAAAACACAGCTGCCCAGGCATCTATCTAGGGAACAGGATAGAATGCTCACCATCACCTCTTGCAACTTTTTCTACCTCAAAGGCACAGAGAAGAAGAGAGCAAAAGAGAGAAATGGAAACCATGTTGTAATGTTTGATTTGATCTGTAAGTGGTAGGGGGGAGTAACTAACAGCTTGTGGTTTCAAATATGTCTTTTCTTTAAGAATATGCTACCTCATTTCCACTTCTGTCAGCAAACCTTGTTGACACAAGGTGGTGAAGAGCCAAATGAAGTTCAGTGTATTTTTTTGGTTGTTGAGGGTTTTGGAACTGGAAATTCTGTTCTGTGCAAACCAGAGCAGCATGGACTAGTTCTCATTCCTGATTGCTATCTGTAAACATGTCATATCAGTAATTGCTGTGATTTAGTCAGCATGGGAATCCCACTGAATGAGAAGGTCATGGAAATGCGAAGAGGTTTTTTCTGATACAGTTCCAAGGTGTGCTGTTTCTTTCTATATTCATACGTTTTTCCAAAAGATGGATGGCCAGAGAGCTGGGAGTGTTTCTCCCAACTATAAGGGAAAAATTTGAGAGGTGACCGAAGCTTTTATTTTTGTTTCTCAAGCAATTTTTCTAGTTTTAAACTTGAGGAAAACTTTCCAGACTTCATTTACTTAGTTTTGGTAAAAGGACAGTGATTGGAAGCATTTGCAGCATTTAAGATTCTTTGGAAAGAGTTTGCTCTGAAACTTTTTCTTTTCTCCCTTTCTATCAGGATGGACAGTCTGATATTTTGTACAAATTTTGGACTGCAGTAACTCAGACTCTTTCCTCTCAGTTTCAGTCTGCAACAGACTGTAAGTATTCAGTATAAATGATTCGTAATGTATTTTGTAGTTATTTTGAATCTCTCATTTCCATAAGTTATTTGTTCATTATGTCCTCTACTAACAGCAGTGGTTCACTTAGTGCTGGGTCTGTGAATTTATAATTTTGTGGTTTTATAACCAAACGTTCCTAAATTGTAATTGAGTTTCCTGGGAAAAAAAAATAAAAAATGTTTTCTGTTCCATTAAGCAGTCATAATCTAATAAAAGCCCATATTTAGGCCTACTGTACGTGGATGTAAAAACATTTGAGATCACATTATGCTTTCCAAAGTGAATGAGTTTGCTGAAATCGTAAGTAGTAATTTGATTGTAAAAAGCAGTTTATACATTCCTCAGTTGCTGAGCACTCATCAGTTGCAAAAGACTGATTTTAGCCGTTTTTGCATACCTTGTAAATAGGAGCTGAGTTTCTTTAAAATTATGTCTTGTCTAAATATAGATAATTGGTAATGTTCTGACTATACAGAGTGTTCTGCACATATTTATAATGTAATAAATAATTAGCAGATACAACCAACAATATTAAATCATGTTATAAACACAAGAGTACTGTTGTCATATTGATGCAGCGTGCAATTTGATCATATTTGGTGCTTTCACAAATACATCTTTCAAATTTGTATATGGAGTATAAAGTGAGTCTTTTGCAGACACAAAGTGCATAAAGTTTGCATTAATCTTGTGATCTCAGCTGTTGCATTGGCCCTTCAAAATTTGATCCTGCTCTGCTAAATGGCAAGAGTATAATTTGAGGAAGTAGCTGTTTGATTCATGTTCAGTGGTTGCTAAGTAACTAGATGTTACAAATGAAAATGTATTCATCCTGTGTTAAAACATATTAATTTTACTGTTTGCCTTACACGTACTTTAACAGCAGCAGGTACATACTAGGGATCTCATGTGTTTGTGCAGAATGTGTGCTAACTATTTTCAGCACAAAGTTTTAGGACTACAATTGTGACATCAGTTAATGGGATCAATCAAATCTCAGAAATAAGGTGGCTCTTAAATTTATCTTGTTACTTGTTGTAATTTTTAATGGTTTTTATATAAACATTTAGAGTGTTTGGATTTTAAAACTGAGTGCTGTTTTTACTTCACCAGTTCTGAGTTCAGGGAAAACTGCTTACAGCAAGTAGACTTTTAATTTTTTAAGTGATTGTCTATATAAAAATGTTCACCTTTAGCATGTTAACTCTAAGTGATTGAATCAACTGACATGAATCATAGACTCTCAGGATCGTATAGATCATAGGAATAGCATGAACATTGTTCTGTGACCTAAAATAGCTCTGCATTTGGTAACAAATGTGAATCCTCCAGTACTCAGAATTAGAATGTACTTGAGTTGATGGGATGGGCTGAGGCAAAAGGGGCAGATGTCTAGAACTTGAAAAACCTAGGAATGAATGTAACAGTGTTAATCTCCTAATGTAATGAGGAAATCCATCAAGTATGACTGATGTTAGATCAAGATTAACAGCAGTGTCTAATGCAGTTGTACATTTGTTTCATTTCCTGTTACTTCTGGCAAGCTTTTGAAGGCTAAAGGTAATGCTGACTTTTCTGCCAGTTTTGCCGTTCTTTATTTGTATAGGAATTACATTTTAGGTACATTGTTTCAAAGGTGTGTGTAAAAGCAGATTTTGTGCAGTTTGGCTCATAGACGTTATTTGTTTTAAACAACTATCTTGAAAGTTGCAAAGCTCCAGGCTTTTTCTCCTTCCAAGCTGTTGTTAGAAAATCTTCATTCAGTGAATTCTAATCACACTTTGGACTAAAATGAATAATAGTGCTAACAATTAAGTTTGATGTTAAACAGTTTGTGACCATGATTGGTATATTTAATACACAAAGTAAGATTCCCCTGTCCAGAATTTGAATTGTGGAGTTTATACTGGAGCTTTAGATATATATCATCATCAACTTCATTTAACATGACAGCTCATAACCCTTTGAAAGTAATTATAAGTATGACATTAACAGTGTTAAAGGGGGAATGACATTATATATCATTCAGTGATTTAAATGCAAGGATGCAGGTTATTCTTACGAATCAAACAAATTAGTTTAAGCTTAGTAAAGCACATTACTTACTACTTTATTTTCTAGCTTCTATGTTTTTGAAACAAGCTTTTGAAGGAGAATACCCTAAATTACTGAGACTTTATAACGACTTGTGGAAGCGCCTGCAACAATATAGTCAAAATATTCAGAGGAATTTTAACACAAGTGGAAGTCCTGATCTCTTTACTGAACTACAACAAATGGAGGAAGATGCACAGGACATATTCATGCAAAAAACCCAAGATTATGAGTATGTATTATGAAGCCTAATAAAATGCAATGTGAAGCTTGGTGCTATGCAGTAAAACAGAGTACTTAGAGTATTTGGTGTTAATCAACTAGTCATAGCAGGAAAATTTAAAAAAAATTTTTTTTGCCTTGTTTTTTTGCCATGCTATTTTAAAGCTGTGAGATTCTTGTTATAATACATAATTAGAAGTGTCAGATTGACTTGTCCTTCTCAAAGTGCTTGGTAATATTACGTTGGAGCTAGTTTTATTTTTTTGTTTCTTTGGGAAAAGAAAAAGCAGAATGATCAAAACTCAGTTTTATATATATTGCAATTACAGCAGTAGCTTTCTGTTAATGATATCACAATCACTGGAGTGTGACAAGCATTCACTTTGTAATGATTCACAGTTTGTATGTTTATACATTGTAGAAAAGTATTATTTGATTGGCAGATACTGGAAAGTTCAAACTGTAACAGGCTTAAGACTTCTGGACTTTTGCAAAATAAAGTGATTATTTTAGCTGGTGTTTATAGAACTATTTATAGAATTATTTCTCAAGAACACCTTGAACTGGGGATTCCACATAGGTCTTAAGGAAAGGGCTAGGAACTGTACTGAGCTGGGCAGGATGGCTGCCTGACCAATTACGTGATTCAAGTGAGAAGCAGGCTGTTATTCAGTACTCAGTTTTTTTCAAATGTATGTGCTTTGATAGCAGAAAGAAAAAACGTGTTGGATACTGTAAAGTTTGTATGATCTGAAAAGGTTCAATGCTACTGGGTACTTTAATTTAAAATGTACTAATTTTGTCTCATCCTTGCAGCCCAGAAAAGGCCTTGAAAGATTCGCTGCAACAATATGAAGCTGCTTATTTGTCAAAATCCCTGTCTCGACTCTTTGATCCTATCAATCTTGTCTTCCCTCCTGGAGGTCGGAACCCTCCCTCTTCTGATGAGCTTGACAGCATCATCAAAACGATAGCCAGGTATGCACATATAATACATTGAAAAATGTAATCTTTGGTGACTTTATTTTTTATGTTACAACTTAAGAAATGAGACTTTGTTACCAATAAAACATTGGTTACTCTTTAATTCTATAACTGATTATCATAAAAATTAAGTCAGGATTTCTCTTCTGTGTTTAGTTGTTCTGGAACAACTGAAACATTCATTTAGTTTAACTGCTAGAGCTTACAAAGCATGGGGAAGAGAAATTTTATGCCTATTGTAAATGTCTGATATCTTCATTATTCTGACTGTATCAAAGATAAAATAATAGTTACTTCTCTGCAAATGGTAATCCCTAATGTAAGTAATCTGTTACAGCGAAGCCGTGAGATGATAGTTGATGAAGATGATTCCAGTTAGAATTTGTAAAATGTGATACTTAAATTAGCAGGGGAGTATTTTCACTCCTCAGACTCTGGTAAGGACTAGTCTGTGTAGTAGAGCCTGAAAATGGTGGGCAGTGTTCTTGCACTGTGAGTGTGCACTTCAGTGTGTGTATGTGTGTGTTTTTTGGTTAATGTTAAATATGGACACTGTACTTGTGACTGGGAGTTGGAAATGCTCAGAAAATGCGTATCTGTGTGGCTGCTGATGTTATTTTCCTCCTTGCCTTAGGAAGAGGGAAAATGGCATTCAGCTCTGTGTCACACAGCATAAGAAAGATGTAAGGGCTGGAGTAACTCTCCTGTGAAGAGAGGATAAAAGAGTTGGGGTTGTTTGGTGCAGAGAAGATAAGGCTTTGGGGAAAGATGGGGAGGGAATCTTTATAAGTTCTTGAGAGAAACTAATCACTGGCTGCATTACATTCACTTCAGATTCTCTTTGTGCTTGTCTGCATTCACAGTAAAGTATATATGAATGCAGACCCAGCTGATGGAGATCTGTGGGGTTCCATGAACAAGGAATACTGGAAGTGATTTAGAAATCTGTTCTGTCTTCCATTTGTACCCTGTCACTCCCTTGATGCCTTTGTTACTACGTAGTATTGCCTTAAACATAGCTTATTAGTTGTGTCAAGCTAAGGCATCCCCTGGGTATTTCTGCACAGCTCATATAATTCCAGAGTTGAATGACTATGTATTCACCTGTAATGTGTGAAGGCTGCTGCCAAAGCTTGAATGTAGTTAATTGCAGTCAATATTTTTGAATGGCTTACTAATAGTGATTTCAAACTGAAGTGTCATTCCTAAACTTTGCTCATTTTTACCAGAATAGGAACATTCTGCACATAAAATTCCCAAATGACTTGTTAAATTGTAAACTGAATTACAGTGCCTAGAAAGACTTGGTTATGTATTACTTCTTCTAAGCTGACTTGCTGTGTAACTGTGTATTTGTAGGTAATTCTTTATCAATTAAATGCAGCACTGCTAAGTTATTAATTAAGATTTGCAATCTTTGCTTCTAGTGAGCTAAATGTGGCTGCTGTTGATCCAGACCTCAGTTTAGCTGTGGCCAAAAATGTGGCAAAGACCATTCAGCTCTATGGTGTAAAGTCTGAACAGCTTGTAAGTAGTTTAAACATTTTTGAAACTTCCTTTTTTTTTTTTCTGTGTAGGATGTTCTCTTTTTTGTAGATTTACAGCATAATAGTAATGCTGTCTGGATAGACAAAACTTTTGAAAGCTTTCCACTTGGAAAATTTTCAGTTCAGTTTTGCCTTCGAGCATACAGACTATGGATTCCAATGCAGTTTGTGTGTATAACTGAAAATTGAAGTTGTAATATTAATTAAAAATAATCTTGTTGTCTTTAAATAAAATCAAGATTATTCAATTCAGTGTAATCATGCTCTCTCTGAATAGCTTTCAAAATTTGAAATTCAACAGCAAATAGTTTGTTTACCATATCTGTTTAATGAATTGTATTGGCAGTTTGCAAGCTAGTGTATGGGAAAGGAATACAGTTGAAGCAGTCATGAAGGCCATGAAGAATATTTAAAAATTTTAAATAAATCTATGTACTGGGATTATTTTGCTATATCTTAGTAGTTCTTAAGTTGAGTCTTCGTTTAAAGATGCCAAATGATGGTGCCATAATTTCAGACTAGAGTTTGCTCAAAAAATAAATTTAATGTGTATACTAAGTTGGCAAGAAACTTGAGTAAAAGGAAGTAAAGTTACATCTATATTTATCTTGGTGTGTAGAGTCAAATACTGGCATACTTATCAGCTGTAACTGAGATGGCACCAGGGTCTGCTGTGCTCACCGCCTCTCTTAAAGTTTGAATCTGGCCGGTGGCTTGTTCAGGAGCGTGCATCATTCTGTGATCAGCCAGCTAGCAATTTCTTAAGAAGCCCTAAGGAAAAGGATTTGTGGAAGTAAGCTGAAAAATATGTGATTTGTGGCTTTGTGCTAGCTGACTGTAACTAAAATAATGTAGGAGTTAGGAGGGAATCTCAGGCCTTGAACTACTTGAATTTGAGTGAAAATAACACTTGAAACTGAAAAATCAAGAGACAGGATTAGTCAAACTGACAGAATGAAAATCCTTCAAGGATGTACCTGCAAACTGTAAAACAATACAAACTGTGTATTGCACTGCTACTTTTGGGGGGTGGGGGTTGTTTTGTTGTGTTTTGTTTTTGCAATTTTTAATTTCCTTACTGATATATATCTTAAGAAACAGGAAGGGCTTAACGCAGTGCCAAAGTGTATGGTGTCATCTGTAAAATACTAAAATACCTTCCCTGGCCTCCAGCTGCCTTTCCAGAAGAGCATCTCTCACATGTCCTACATCATGCTTGCCAGCCCTGTGGGATATAGTCTAGAACATCTAAATGCTTTTTTGTGCCTATTTTTGAGCAGACAGATTGAGCCTGAAATGTTCACCATGTGTAGAACAGGAGCTATGTCAGACACCACTTTTTCATTACACTTTTGTGGTGTAGCCAAGAATGCAATCTTCATTCAGTCTTGCAATCCAGTTTACAATGTTAGCTTTCTAAAGCTCAGAAGGGTGACCATTTAACATTTCTGTTCTGATGCCTGATTTCTGATAGCTATAGTCTACCAGTGCTAAAGATGGAAATTGAGTTTCATGGAGGAATTCACAACAAAGTCATCTTGCAAATCAAAAGTAGACAAAACAAAACAAAACGAAAAAAATATCAGAATTCTCCACAAAGAAAGATAGAAGGGTACTTTTAAGAATCATTAGGATTTTTTAAATTGTTTTAATCTTGTTGGCAGGATGCTGTAGGTAGATTTGAATGGTGAGAATGTTAAATAAATGTGAAGTTCTAAAACTGCAAACAGACTGATATCAGGTTGCTATTCTTTCAGTTCCTTCTAGATGAAATAATTATTTCAGAAAAAAAAGATACATTTTACTAAGACTTTATCACTGATTCTTTAGCTAACTTTAGATAGAATAAGTAAAAAGAAAAGTATTATTCAGAATTTTAGCTTTGAGTAATAGCAGCATATTGCAGTATGGACATGCAGAATTAAAATAAAAACAAGAACAAAAGATATTTTCCAATGAATCCAAAATGTCTATTTCCATTGCTCATGAGTCTGTACACTGCTGGCTTTTGGTTTTCCTGTTTCCTCTCACCAGCTGTTGCTGTGCCTCAAACCTATTCTTGTATTCACCGGTTCAAATGATTTCAAAGAAGATATAAATAACTACTTGTGAGCAGTAGGTAGATTTATTCTGTTGCTGGGTGAATCTGTAACTTAGTTAACCCTTTGTCAATGCCTGATGTTGTGTGCCATGACATATTCAAAGTTATTGTACTTGTTTCACTCAGCGTAATTACAGATGTTCTTATAATGCATAGTTTGAAGGTACAATTACACGTAGCATTAATTAAAAAATATATGTAAAGCTATTAACTTTTAACCTCCTCACCCATCCTGTGTTTTGTTAGGTGATGCTGAGGAAGAGTGATTGGTGTATTTTCTCTATTTCATCATTATTTTGTGTCTTCTTGTTCACATTTTCCTAGATCACACAGCCCAAGCATTCTTGTAATTATTACAGACGTTACAGATTTCTGTTCAGTCAGCATTTCCATGTCCTTATCGTTCCCGATCAGAAAAGATATTAAAAAACCTGATCTTGTATTTTGGATAAGAATGAAATCTTCTTCTTCTGAATTTGCACATTGTAATCCATTCCATACTTTATAACATACCGACTGCTTATGGAGGCAGATTTTATCTGTTAACTATTTGTTTGTACAAGTAAGGGCTCCCTAACTTAAAAAACAAGCAAACAAAGAAATACCCACTAAATTTTCTCTTTAAGAGTTTTTAAGGGGGTTCATTATTCCAGTTTGCAAATACCCTAAGTTACCATCTTTGTTGGCGCATGGAGTAAATTGTCATGTTTATCTGGCCACATAAGGGAAATCAAATGTTTCATCAGATACTGACAGTAAGTACAAATGGAGGGGAGAGATTTACGAGAAACTTCTAAGTTGCATTTCCTGAAAACAAAGAAGTAGTTGAGTAATTTCCTTTTTTTTTTTTTCTTTTTATGAATCTGTGCTGCTTAACAAAAGATCAGAGCTCGCAAATCTGCCTCTTAGATTTTGACCCATTTATGTAATTTGTAGTTGAGAAGAGACAGAAAAGAGAGCTTGTATCTTACCAGCGTCTTCATTAGGTAGCTTTGAAATGGCAGCAGTAATTGCATGTTGGGAATCTCAAGGGTAATGTTCTCCAGATGTTTTTTGTCATGTACTGTAACCAGAAGAAACTTTTTGAATGTGCATTACTGTTATATGTATAAATTATATACATAGAATCATAGAATGTTTTGGATAGGAAGGGACCTTTAAGATTGTCTAGTTCCAACCCCTCTGCTACATGCAGGGACATTTCCCACTAAACCAGGTTTCTCACAGCCCCATCCAGCCTGTCCTTGAATGCTTCTAAGGAGGGGGCATTCACAGCCTTCTTGAAAATGAGGGTTATGTTTCCCCTTTTCGCACCAGTGGGAACTTGAGCAGACTGCCATGACCTTTCAAATATGGTGACTTGGCATCTTCATCCACCAGTTCCCTCAGAACCCGTGGAGATCTCATCAGATCCTATGGACTTGTGCACCTTCAGGTTCTTTAGATGGTCTCGAACCTGATCTTCACTAACAACAGACAAATCTTCCAAGTTCTTATTGTTGCTTTCTGCAACTTGGGCAGTGTGGAGAGCCCTTGCCAGTGAAGATTGAGGCAAAGAAGTCATTGAGCACCTGAGCTTTCTCCATATCCCTCTTGACTAGGGCTCCAGTTTCCTTCCAGAGAGGGCCCACATCTTCCCTGGCCTTCTTTTTATCATTGATATACCCGTAGAATTTCTTCTTGTTTATGTCCCTGCCTAGATTTAACTCTGTCTGGTTTTTAGCTTTCCTAATCTGATCCCTGGCTGCTTAGACAACTTCTTTGTAGTTCTCCCAGGTAACACATTCCTGCTTCCGCTCCTTATAGACTTTATTTTTGCACTTAATTAAGTCCTGGAGCTCCTTGCTGATCCACAGAGGTATTCCTGGTATTCTTATCTGCCTTCCTTTTTCTTAGGACGTGCTGCTTGTGGGCTTGGAGCATATGGTCCTTAAATACTTACCAGCTTTCTTGGGCCCCTCTTTTCTTATATCGCCCTGTCAAGCAGTTAGTTCCCTGAAGAGGTCGAAGTCTGCTCACCTGAAGTCCAGAGTAGCAAGTTTGCTGTGTGCTCTCTTTGACGCCCTAAGGATCTTGAACTCCACCATTTTGTGGTCAGTACAGCCAACACTGACCTTGAGCTTCACATTACTCACCAGCCCCTCCTCGGTGAGGTACAGCATAGCATCTTTTCTTGTGGGTTCCTGTAGAATCCACCCTACGTGTACTATTGAAGTTTCAATATTTTCTTCTCCATCCCGTCATCTTGCATAAATCCTGTGGTGCACGCATGCCACTTTGAAGACTATTGCTCAAGGGTGATAATCTGCAGTAATGCTTTGTGACCAAGAAGATTTTGGTTGTCTATTTTTGGCAAAGAGAGGTGATTGATTTCAGGAGTCTTTTAAATCTTTGAGTTTCTGTTTTTTTGTCATTCTTTCTCCCAGTGTGCTTCTTAGATTGTTCTTTTATGTATATAAAAATGAAAATGATAGTCACTTTTTGATTGGAAGTAAAGACAAAACTACATTTCCCTAACTTACTAGCTGTAATTTTATCATTTACTGAGCTGAATTTTGAATGGAAATCTTTTTGTTGCAATTTCGCAATCACTGTGTTTTGGTTTGACTGCTGATAGGGATGTATTATTTCTCTTACTAATCCTTAGAACTGGATGTCTTGCAGAGACAAGTCATGAAACATTGAGAACTAAAAGCTCTGGGAGTTTACAAGATTGGTACTTTGGCCAACAAGCAGAAAAATAAATTCTAATATCCTTTGTCTTCATTGAGATGGCAGAGACCTGTTTGGACATCTAGTCTATTCCCTTCCCAGTGCAGGACTATTTCAAGTAATATTTACTGTTGTCTTTTTTTGTTGCATTCTTTCTGCCTTTTGAA